AACTAAGGGAGGAGGAAGTTCGGGTGAGATATAAGCGACTATTGGCAGAAAGGTGGGCTAGTGCAAAGATGAGTAGTGGGGGGGTTGAAAGGGTTGGAATAGTTTTAAAAATGCAGTTAGAATGTGGGCAGAAGTTTGTGGTTATAGGAGGGTGGGGGCAGGGGGAAAGGGGAAAGTGATTGGTGGAATGAAAGTAAAGGGTGTGATAAAAGAGAAAAAGGTTGTTTTATGAGAGTTTTACAAAGCAGAAGTGTTATAAGAAGAGCGAGTATATGGAGAGTAAAAGAAAGGTAAAGAGAGTGGTGAGAGATGCAAAAGGAAGCAGATGATAGAGTGGGAGAGGCACTGTCCAAAAAAATTTTAATGAAAATAAGAAAAAATTTTGGGAGTGAGTTAAACAAGTTAAGAAAGCCTGGGGAAAATATGGATTTGTCAGTTAAAAAACAGAGTAGGGGAGTTAGTAGATGGGGAGATGGAGGGATTGGGTAGATGGCAAATATTTTGAGGAACTTTTAAATGTTAAGGAAGAAACAGAGGCAGTAATTTCATGCACTGGTCAGGGAGGTATACCATCTTTTAGAAGTGGAAGAAGAGCAGAATGTAAGTGTGGGGGAGGTACGTGAGGCATTAGTAAAATGAAAGGGGGTAAAGCAGCTGGAACTGATGGGAAACATGACAGAAATGTTAAAAGCAGGGGGGATATAGTGTTTTGGGGTGGTTGGTACTTTTGTTTAATAAATGTATGAAAAAGGGGAAGGTACCTAGGGATTGGCCCGAGAGCATGTATATCCCTTTATATAAAGGGAAAAGGGGACAAAAGAGACTGTAAAAATTTTAAAAGGAATAAGCTTACTGATTTTACCAGGGAAAAATGTTACGGTAGGGTTTTTAATTTAAAGAATTAGAGGTAAGACAAATGTAGGGTTGCGGATGAGCAAGGAGGTTTTAGAGTGGGTAGGGGATGTGTAGATCAGGTGTTTTTCATTGAAGCATATATGTGAACAGTATTTAGATAAAGATAGGGAAGTTTTTTTTGCATTTAGGGATTTAGAAAAAGGCAAATGATAGAGTGGATAGAGGAGCAATGTGGCAGATGTTGCAAGTAATGGAATAGGTGGTAAGTTATTAAATGCTGTAAAGAGTTTTTATGAGGATAGTGAGGCTCAGGTTAGGGTGTGTAAAAGAGAGGGAGACTACTTCCCGGGTAAAAGAGGTCTTAGACAGGGATGTTAATGTCACCATGGTTGTTTAATATATTTATAGTGGGGTTGTAAAGGAAGTAATTGCTAGGGTGTTTGGGAGAGGGGTGGGATTAAATTATGGGGAATCAAATTCAAAAGGGGAATTGACACAGTTACTTTTGCTGATGATACTGTGCTTATGGAGATTCTAAAGAAAAATTGCAAAGGTTAGGGGATGAGTTTGGGAATGTGTGTAAAGGTAGAAAGTTGAAAGTGAACAATAGAAAGAGTAAGGTGATGAGGGTGTCAAATGATTTAGAAAAAAGAAAAATTAGGATTATCAAATTGGGGGGGAGGAGTATGGAAGAAGTGAATGTTTTCAGATACTTGGGATTGACGTGTCGGGGGATGGATTTATGAAGGATGAGGTTAATCATAGAATTGATGAGGGAAAAAAGGGGGAGTGGTGCGTGAGGTATATGTGGAGTCAAAAACTTATCTATGGAGGCAAAGAAGGGGAAGTTATGAAAGTAATAGTAGTACCCAACACTCTTATATGGGTGTGAAGCTTGGGTGGTTTAAAAGCAGCACGAGGAGAAAGGTTGAGGGAGCGGAGATGTCCTGTTTAAGGGCAATGTGTGGTGTAAATATTATGCAGAAAATTCGGAGTGTGGAAATAGGAGAAGGTGGGGAGTTAATAAAAGTATTAGTCAGAGGGCAGAAGAGGGGTTGTTTGAGGTGGTTTGTCATTTAAGAGAAAGGATCACAGTAGAATGACATGGAAACATATAAATCTATAGGGGAAGGAAGGCGGGTAGGGGTCGTCCTCGAAAAGGGTTTGGAGAGAGGGGTAAAGGAGGATTTGTGTGGTAAGGGGCTGGACTTCCAGCACAGCGTGCGTGAGCGTGTTTAGATAGGAGTGAATGGAGAAACGAAATGGTACTTGGGACCTGCACGATCTGTGGAGTGTGACAGGTAATATTTAGTGAAGGGATTCAGGGAACCGTTTATTTTCTATATAGTCGGACTGAGATCCTGGAATGGGAAGTACAATGCCTTCACTTTAAAGGAGGGGTTTGGATATTGCAGTTTGGAGGATATGTTTGTGTATGGCTTTATATGTTTATGCTTCTAGACTGTTGTATTCTGAGCACCTCAGCAAAAAACAGTGATAATGTGCGAGTTGTGTGAAAGTGTTGAATGATGATGAAAGTAATTTCTTTTTGGGATTTTCTTTCTTTATTTTTTGGGTCACCCTAGCCTCGTGGGAGACGGCCGACTTGTTGAAAAAAAAAAAAGAAAAAAAAAAAATTGTATTTATTGACCTGTGAGACAGAAGGCACAACAGACAGCCAACCAGCAAGCCAGCCCTGCAGCCAAGTGCAGCCATGTGGTTTACACAAACCCACAAAATCCCTTCCCCACCAAAACATTGCTGGACCTGTAAATAATATGTATATATTTCTAGGCAATATGTGACTAAAATAAGTGAAAATGTTCACCTGTCAGTGTTTGTGCACTTATTATGTACTCGCCTAATTGTACTTCCCCCCTGAATTGTGTTAGCAGGGGTTCGAGACTCACTCCTGGCCCTGCCTCTTCACCGTTTGCTCTACTTGGGTCCTCACACTCCCTACTCCATGTGTACCATACAACAAGTGTATATATCCAAAACATGGCTTATATTGGTCTCACAGGCCATAAAAGTTACTTGAAAAATAAAATTAAAAAATAAAAGAAAAATATAGGAAAAAATAAGCTATTTCCTCATGACCGGCAGTCGGCAATGTTGCCATAAGCTGCTCACTTTCGCAACTTATGCAGCCAATCCGGTAAGTATTGAATCACAATCCATAACAATTTTGGGGGACTATAATACTCATAAAAATGCTCTATCATTTCGTAAGAAAAAAATATTTTTTTTTTTTTTTTTCGAAAATTTTTCAACCCTGAGAACAAGTTTGGGAGAGGGCC